TTTGAGGTTTCTTCTTGTTTCCTAGACATTTTGAAGTTGTCTTTAACTGTTAGTTATGTATTGATTTGTTTTGTTTTGGTTTTATGATTTAATATTTTTGGAAAGGTGGAGCTGGTGTATTTTATTTTTTTGGTTATTAATTCAGGTGTACTGTGTGGCTCTGCAGTTTTCTTTGTGATGCTGGAATCACTGTGTGGAATGTGGTTGCAGGTCTCTACTTGGCTTGAAGGGAGTTTCTAATTTGAGCTGGTAGATGTTCTGGTGGTTTAATATAGTTTTTCTACTGGATGAGGCAGGGGAGAGGGAGGGAAAGGAGGAAGAAAAGAGAGAAAGGAAAAAATAAATAAAATAGAAAAAAAACCTCCAGGGAACAATGAGCCATTTCTAGGGCTTTGAGTGGGCTGCTAATGATGACGTTATACTGTTGTTACTCACAGACCTCAATTTTTAGGAGGCTGCCACTTTCCACCAGGTTCAGACAGCTGCAAAAACCCTATTCTCCAGGCCCTTCCAAAAAGAAAGCTGCCAAAAAGCTGACCTAGGATAGCTGCCCTGATCCACGATGCGAGTTTGTCCCAGGGCTCACTTACTTGCCACATGATTCCCCTCTCTGCTCCTGATTCAGCAGCACCCGGAGCCAGAGGAGTCTCTGCTCCCTCCCAGCTGTCCCAAGTTTATCGATAAAAGCATTTGCTGATGGTAGATATGTCTAGTCGCCACAGGTCCTCTGGTGTGTTCTCTCCAGTGCCCCAGGGAGCCCTGTGATGCCCTGTCTCACTGGCCAGTTGGTGCCCCATATTTAAGATTTTAAAACTATCATTAACTGAGATTTAAGTCATTAAAATGAAAAGATTTTGTACGTAGTCTTTTCACTCACAAATGATTTCTTTGTGTCCTTATCCATTCTTTTTATGTACGTTGTCATGATTTCTGTGTAGTTGTATCATGTATATTTTGTTTTCAATTTTTAAAAATTTAAACATTATTTTTGAATAATTTGCTAAGTATCACATCTAAAATTTTTAAATGACTGCAGTAAAATTGCTCATCTGTGTAGTTTATTTAATAACTTTTTCCACCCAGGTAGACATTGTTTCTAGAGTTCCTCATTACATATAATACTATTACATAAAGTCTTAGTAAATGTAATTTGCTTTTATTTTTAAATTATTGCCATCTGAGAAATCCCCCAGAGGTATGGTTATAGAGTCAGAGAAACCCAGCCTTGTAAACTTAGGGGCTTATTAATTTTGTTTTTTTGCCAATTATACTTCATTATTTTAATTATTAGTGAGGTTGAATTTCCCCCCATAGATTTATAACTTCTTTTTCTTCTTATGTCAGTTAACTGTACATATTTCCTATCTGCTTAGTCATTGGGATTTTATATACTTGTATAAATTTATAACCTTTTATGATCAGTCATATTGATTATAAATTTTCCTTTAGTATAATATGTTTCCTTTTTATGCTGATTTTGTTTGTTTCAACATACAGATATAGTTGAAAACTTTGAAGACCATCATGTTTATCTGTTGGTGAATTCTTGGAGGACAATTTTCTTCTAACTACCATTCTTCTCCTTTTCTAGGCACCCAACAGGAGGATCCTTTATTCGTCCCCACAAGGTAAATTTTGGAGTAGACTTTCTTACTGCAGTTAAGAACCGCTATGTGTTAGAAGATGGACCAGATGAAGACAGAAAAGAGCAAATTATTACAATTGGAAATAAACCTGTAGAAGCTATTGGTTTTGACTCTATTATTAAACAGCAAAGGTAAGTAGAAATGGTAACTTTTACAGTTTCATGAAGGTTCAGAATTGAAATTTTCATGGCCATATGTCAGATGCACATTTGTTTCCAAACTGGCTTAACTTTTTTGTAAAAATAGTGAATTGAAATCTAAGGGAATCCAAGGATTGAATATTCAAGCAAATGAAAATCCTTATTTTCACAGAGTTCATAGATTTTTCTGAATTGGAATTGCAATATCGATTTGGCCATTATAAATATTTACACTAAACTGTCTTGTTATATCATGAGCTCTCGTGGTGCACTGATTAAGCACTAGACTTCTAGCCTAAAGGTTGGCGATCAAACCCAGTAGTAGCCACTCTCTCTACGGAGAGAAGACCTGGTGATCTGCTCCTGTAAAGAATTTTTTTTTAAAACATTTTCTTTTGTTTTAGGTGAAAGTCTACACAGTAAATTAGGTTCCCATTTAACAATTATACAAGTTGTTACATGACATTGGTTACAATTTTAACAATTTTTAAAACAATTTTAACAACTTCAACAATTTTAATAATGTGTCATTTCCATTCCATTTGTTCTGTTTCCATTGATTTATCTTTCCTATGCCCATCTTTCTTTCTCATTTTGAGTTTGATTAACTCTTACAATTGATTGTTTATCTCATTAAGGAAACCTTCTGGTACGCTTCTACTCTGTCTGATAGGATTTCTATGACTTGGAATTGACTTAGTGGTAAGAAAACAACATCTTCTCATTGACGAATTATTAAGTATCTAAGGCTGACATTTTTGTCCTTTTATATTTCATGGTAGCATTTCTAGTTGGATAAGTCAGGTATAGAAACAAATCTGAATACTTGCCAATATGCCATGTATAATACTTGTACTGGCTAGTAGTGAGCAGTTCCCATCTCTGGCAGTGCACATCTTTAACACCTGTGGAGCTTTTGAAGCATATAGAAAATTCACTCCTATTCCAACCCTACTTTATCAGGATTTTGGGGCATGGACCCCAGGAATTTGCTTTTAAGAAGTACCCTAAATTGTTATGTAGCAGTCTGTAGCAATTTAAAACTGCTTAGCTAGAACGTTACTTTCTCTGAAACTGTTGGTACGTTGATTATCTGCAAAAAGACTTACTACTCATTCAGATGATCTGTCTGAATCAAAGAAAGTGGAAGCTGATATTACTTAAAAATAGTCATAACTACATAAGTACTTCCTTAATTCATGCTGGTTTGTTCTGTGATTTGACCTGGAGGAGACATCCTGGTAGTGACCTCTGGTGGCCACTGTGGAGAATATATTTGCAAACACACTTGGCCATAGGCCTGCAGGTTTTTATTTGCCATCTGTAAAGTAAAAGAATTAAACTGTGATTCTGCACATTTTTGTCATTAAGATTTAATATAAAATTAAAAATGGAAATGCAGGCAATAAAACATTTTCTTCTTATTCTCAATGTTGAAGAATAAATTCTTTTCTCAACACCTTTACTTTTTAGCATAGATGGCCAGCATTATAGAAAAATCTCAGATGAGTAAGACTTTTCTTTAAATAGTATCACCTGACTGTGTTTTATTTATAAAACAATATACATTCATATAGATAATTTGGTCATTAAAAAGACAGGAAAGGAAGAAAAGAGCAAAATGGATGTCAGAGGAGACTCTGAAACTTGCCCTTCAATGGAGAGTAGCTAAAAACAAATGGAAGAAGTGACAAAAGAGCTGATCATAAGATTTCAAAGAGCAGCTCAAGAAGACAGAGTCAGTTATTATAATTTAACTGTGCAAAGACCTGGAGTTAGAAAACCAAAAAGGAAGAAAACACTCAGCATTTATCAAGGTGAAAGAACTGTGGAAAAAATTCAAGCCTTGAGTTGCAATGTTGAAAGACTCTATGTGCAAAATATTGAATGATGCAGGAAACATCAAAAGAAGATGGAAGGAATACACAAAGTCACTGTAACAAAAAGAACTGATAAATGTTCATCCATTTCAGGATGTGGCGTATGATCAAGTACCAATGGTATTGAAGGAAGAAATTGAAGCTGCACTGAAGGATTTGGCAAAGAACAAGGCTCCAGGAATTGACGGAATACCGATTGAGATGTTTCAACAAATAGATGCTGCACTGGAGGCACTCATTGTCTATGCCAGTAAATTTGGAAGACAGCCACCTGACCATGTGATTGGAAGAGATTCATATTTGTACCCATTCTAAAGAAAGGTGATCCCACAGAATGTGGAAATTATGGAACAATATCATTAATATCTCAATGCAAGTAAAATCTTGCTGAAGATAATTAAAAAATTGTTGTAGCAGTATATTGACAGAACTTCTAGAGATGCAAGCTGGATTTAGAAGAGGATGTGGAATGAGAGATATCATTGCTGATGTGAGATGGATCTTGGCTAAGAGCAAAGATTACCAGAAATATATTTACTTATGTTTTATTGACTTTGTAGAAGCATTCGATTGTGTGGATCTTAATGAATTATGGGTAACGTTGAGAAGAATGGGAATTCTAGAATATTTAATTGTGCTAATGAGGAACCTGTGCATAGACCAGGAGGCTGTCATTCGAACAGAACAAGGGGATACTGCATGGTTTAAAATGAGGAAGGTAGTGTGTCAGGGTTGTATCCTTTCACCATACATAATCTGTATGCTGAGCAAATAATCTGAGAAGCTCAACTATATGAAGAAGAACATGGCATCAGGGTTAGAGGAAGACTGATTAACAACCTGTGATATGCTGATGACACAATTTTGCTTGCTGAAAGTGAGTATGACTTCAAGCACTTACTGATGAAGATTAAGGACTGCAGTCTGCAATATGGATTACATCTCAATGTCAAGAAAATAAAAATCCTGAAAACTGGGCCAATAAGCAGCATCACGATGAATGGAGAAATGATTGAAGTTATGAAAGATTTCATATTACTTGGTTCCACAGTCAACACCAATGGAAGCAGCAGTCAAGACATCAGATGACATATTGCACTGGGCACATCTCCTGCGAAAGGCCTTGTGATAGTTGGAGCTGTGTGTCAAGTTGGCTGAACCACAATTCTGTGTGGTTTAAGCACTTGTGATGTGTTTATTCCCATGATGGGATCAGATGAATATGTTTTGAGCAGCCAATCCATTGAAAGGGAGTTTCCCTATGGGTGTGATCTGCCTCCAGTATATTTATGGACATCCTGGGAAAAGAGACACTTTTCTGTGGATCAGAATTCTTTTGTGCTGCCAACAACTGTCCATGAGTGAACAATCCACCATTCGGCCTGGAGATCTTGGATTCATCATTCGTTGGAGTCAACAGCCAGTGTACTGCCTGTCAACCTTGAGCTCCAGCCCCTGCAGCTGCAAGAGTTGGGAAAAGCCCTCCGGCTTGATGTTTGATCCAAGAACTTTGGACTTGCTAGCTTCTATAAGTGTGTGAGCCATTTTCCTAAGATAAATTACTCTCTATATACATATATATATAAGCTTTACTGGTTTTGTTTCTGTAGAGAACCCAGTCTAACACATTTGGTACCGAGAGGGGTTCTAGAGAGACAAAATCTTAAGGATGGCCTTCCTAAATTGATTCTCCTATTTGATTAATTATAAAGACACTAGTTACCCTGCCTCTGTTAGTGAAGAGGACCCTGCTAATCTGTGGCATGAGGTGGCAACATTAATATGCAAAATAACACCACCAATAGATCAAGTACTTTGTGAGATGTGAGGCTCTGGGTGATCACATATTTGATACTTTTCTGCAATTTTGTCAGCATGAGGAGTATAAAGAAGTTGGTTGGTTGGTCCTGCTTACACTAGACAAAGTGGTGAAAGACCGAGATGAATTCAGGGCTGCTGAGTCAGCTTAAGCGCCGCATAAAAGACCTTAGTGTTTCCAGTTGTGCTCTGAAAGAATGCCTTATTTTTTCTAGTAACAGAGCTGAAATTGCTGAAAACCAAACCCAGAGCCTTATTGTAAGGGTGGCTGAATTACAATGCCAATTGAATTGCCAACCCAGAATGGTGTCTGAAGTTAAAGTGAGGGCAATGATTGGGGAAAAATGGGATCCTGAAACCTGGAATGGGTATATATGGGCAGATAGTAGTGCCTAAGGCACTTGACTGCTAAGCAGAAGGCTGGCGTTCAAACACACCAGCCACTCCTCAGAAGAAAGATGGGGTAATCTACTTCCATAGAGGGGTCGCTTTGAGTTGGGTCTCACTCAACAGCACATAACAATGACAACAGTCAGGAATATCAGGATATGGAGCCTGTACTTCTGTTGAATCCCTCCCATCTGAAGGGATTACTGTAAAACCATTATCCCCTCCACCTCAGTTTGATGGGATTAGCCAAACTGGTCCTGCTGGTCTTTGTCTGAGGCAGAGGCCATGGAAGACATTCCTGAATGTTCTCAGGAACTGCCTCAACCACCCATTGTTGCTGCTAGACCTACAGCAAAAGTTAAGTCCAAGCGAGCCCCAAAAGGTGACATAGAAAATGTGATTAAGAACGTGGTATGCTACACCCGAAAAGACCTACTTGATTTTGCTAACATGTACAGACATAAACCTGGAGAGTATGTATGGGAATAACCATTGAGGATGTGGGATAATGGTGCAAGGAATGTAAGATTGGATCAGTCTGAGTTTATTGATTTAGGCCCACTAAGTATGGATTCTTCATTCAGTGTTTCAGCTCAAGAGATTAGGAAAGGATCTAATAGTTTATTTGGTGGGCTTACTGAAGCATGGATTATGCAGTGGCCTACCTTAAGTCAAGTTGAAGTACCTGCCTTGGTATAATGTAGAAGAAGGTATCCAGAGGCTTAGGGAAATTGGCTTGTTAGAATGGATTTATCAGGTTAGACCCCTAGAGCCAGAAATGGAGAGGCCAGAAGACACGCCTTTCACCAGTACAGTGAGGAATAAATTTGTGAAGGGAGTTCCAGCATCCTTGAAGACTGCTGTGATTGCTATTTTATGTAAGCCTGATTTGACAGTGGGAAT